AAGAACCTGAGAATCCCGAGCCTGAACAACGTGAGATTTATTTACTTAACAGAAAGATAAATTTTTTTGACTTTTATTTTTTACTTTTTAATTTTTCTGAAGTCCAATTTTAATTTTTTTTACTAAATTAATTACACAGGTGAAGAAGACTCAGATGATGAAGAAGACTCAAATGAAGAGGATGAGTCGGATCCCGAAGATCTCACACAGACCCTTACACCTTCGTCTTCTTCACGGCCAAAGGTTCGGAAGGGGTCCCGAGTGCGCAAACCTAGGGATCCCTTTACTCCTTCGTAGTTAGTTTGTGTTAGTTTATGTTAGTTTATGTTTGAATGAAAAACGGATTGTTTTGTATGTATAAACTTTATTTTGACCTTTTTGGTATGTGGTGTTTTTTTAATACATTATTGCGGTTCATCGTTTTTTATATTATGTTGGATTATTATTTGGTGAATTGATTGGTTCGATTGGTATTAGTTGGTTGAGCAGGTTTTTTTGGTTGTGATTGGTTGAACAAGTTTATTTCGTATGACATATTGAACAAGTTCCGATTTATTTCGTTTAAAAAATAAATGCCATTTTTTTTCCTACAGATTAAAACGTATTTAAAGAATACGTTTGCTTTATTTTATTATGAAACCGTATTCCGGGAATACGTTTTATATTCAAATTGAATTAGGGCAAAATTGAATTTAGGGCAAAATTGATTTCTTTAACTCAACGTATTATCCAAATACGTTTTGTGTTATTTTAGTCTAAAACCGTATTCCTGTAATACGGTGTATATTCAAATTGAATTAGGGCAAAATTGAATTTAGGGCAAAATTGATTTCTTTAACTAAACGTATTATCCAAATACGTTTTGTGTTATTTTAGTCTAAAACCGTATTCCTGTAATACGGTTTATATTCAAATTGAATTAGGGCAAAATTGAATTTCGGGGAAAATTAATTTTTTCAACGCAAACGTATTATCCAAATACGTTTTGATTTATTTTACTCTAAAACCGTATTCCCGGAATACGTTTTATTTTCAAATTGAATTAGGGCAAAATTGAATTTAGGGCAAAATTGATTTTTCGACGCAAACGTATTATCCAAATACGTTTTATTATTCAAAATATTTTTTCAGAAAATTTTTTATTTTTAAAAACTATAAAATTATTTTTATTTTAAAAACGCATTTACAGAATTCGCTTTTATAATTAAAAAATTTATTTAATTTTTTTTTTATTATAAAACGTATTCATATTACACGGTTTCATCTAAAACGTATTCCTGTTTTTCGTTTTAACTTAATTTAATTATGTTAATTATGTTTTTTTCTTAATACGTATTATAATAATACGTTTTTTTATGTGAACGTATTTTACGAATACGTTTTATAAATAAAAGCATTTGAAAACGTATTGTCGGAATACGTGGTTTTGATTTTTTTCCACTCCTTTTTTTTTTGTTTTTGTTTTTGTCCACTTTTTTTTTTTTATTTTTAAAGAAATCAAAAATTCTGGTTTAAACTTCCGGGGTTTAATAGCAAATATACGTTTATCACTTCCGCTTTCCTCTCCGCATTTCCACCATTGATCTTTCTTTCTTCCGAATTAAGCCCGATACACTTTCTCTCTCTCTACTCCTGACCTCTGATCCGAGTCAACTCACTCATTCCATCTCGGTGAACTCACATATTCCAGGTATGCATACGCACACGCAGCTCGATTCTCATATCCAGAAGTTTTCTGATTCGGTTTATTTTTATCGAATTTCTTCAGTACAATTACTGCTTTAGCAATTGGCAAATTGTTTTAATCACGGTGATCCGTTCGATTGAGCAGAGGTTTAGGAGGAAAGATGAGTCAGGTGTATGAAGGGTACGAAAGGCAGTACTGTGAGCTGTCGGCAAATTTGTCGAGAAAATGCAATTCCGCCGCTGCTCTTCCAGATGGAGGTACAATCAAGTAACTGAATTTTGCGTTTATCAGATATTAACTTGATGAGTGTTTCGGTGAGCTAATGCTGTGTACACTTTTCTTGTTTTCGGCATTGTTTTGCTCTGAGAGGGTTGTTGGTAGATTGTTGCGTCTTCGATTTTTGCTGAAATTAGGGTTTTGTTTGTGCAAGGTTTTTGGGTCTTTTTCTGAACTGTGGTTAATTGAACATCTTCAATATGGGTTTGTTTCCGTTGTACGGTATAAAAATTGGAGAGTCTTGGGAGCTTATTCATTGGTGTCGGGTGTGGTGCATTGTTGTTAACCATGTTCGTTATTGTTTCCAACTATATGTTTGATATCATTGTTCTTGGTTTTTAGAGAAATATATAACTCTGTCTTTGTTTAAACCGCATCACGCTTAAAGAAGGCTTTCTTATTTTGTTTCTTTTTGTATCTTTTTTTTTTTCTAATAATAAAATCGTGTTTGAAGTTATCCTTTTGGTTATCTGTCTTTGCATTCATGTGTTGTAGTTGCGATTAATTAAGGAATAGTAAGTGATAACTTTAGCATGCACCAACAATCCCAATTCCTTCAGATCTGCATTTTTACAATTTAAAGATTGCTCTCTGCTTCTTCAGCTGGTTCTGTTAGCTTCGTCATGGTATCTACCAAGAGATAATCCCTAACAGTCAATTTTGGCTGATATATTTTTGTTTGTTTCCAGAAAGTTCAGGCCATTATATTTAATGCAGTATTAAAAGATATCGAGTGTTAAATGCTCCTAGTGAGTATCATTTGTTCATTAAACATTCTCTCGCTTTGTAACTGGTTTTGTTCTGGACTATGAATTGCGTTACTATGGCCTGCAGAGATAAAGAAACAAGAGATATCTGAATTACAGGCTGGATTAGATGATGCTGATGTTTTGGTAATGCATGATCTTGATTCTCAATCAAGTCTGTATTAATTTGGATCTTTTCTAATTTGCAATCTTAAATGTATCTAATTGTGTTTACAAGATTCGGAAAATGGACCTTGAGGCTAGAAGTTTGCAGCCGAGTGTGAAAGCCACTTTGCTTGCTAAGCTACGGGAATATAAATCTGATCTGAATAAGCTGAAAAGAGAGGTGAAGAAACTGACGATGCCCAGTTCCAATCAGCCTGCTCATGAAGATTTGTTAGAATCTGGAATGGCTGGCTCACACAAAGTATGTGCAGATTGTGTTAACTTGTTCATTTTGTTGTTTGTTCACATTTAATCGAGATTCTTTGAATATGTAGTTGGGTTTGCCTTGGGTATGGGAATAAAACTGAAGATTAATCACTGCAATGCATGATGCTGTGTAGCTTTATACAAAATTTTAATGCACAAGACAGCCAAAGAATCACTTCTAGTATGCATTTTTATACACACACATGCAGATGTTTTCTTATTTCCTTGCATTAAAAGGTCAAATTATAGGGATTAAATTACAGTTGTGTAGAAAATCAATTGGGCGATATGATGCATTTTTACTCGTACTTTAGATAGCCAGATGCACACTCTCATTCAGTTACGTTATAAACCTCTGCAGGTCATACAAATTAACTCAGATGACTATTTGTGGCTTTTTTTTTATGAGATTATATGAGCTTTTGTTGGTGGCTTTTTTTTTCTCTAGTGGTTCCAATATTATATTGAGTTTTGTTGATAGGCCTCGGGGAGTCAGAGGGATAGATTGATGATGACAACTGAGAGGCTGAATGAATCGACTGACAGATTGCGGGAGACTCGGAGGGCAGCTCTGGAAACAGAAGAGCTTGGGGTCTCAATCCTTGAAGATCTTCATCAGCAGCGTGAAACTCTTTTGCATTCCCACAAGAAGGTATGTGACGGCTAGATCCTTTTATCATCATATCTTGTCATTATTACAAAGCTACTCTGAGATCAAGCGTAATTACCCAAAAAAACATATTTATTTGTCTCCCAAAATTAAAAAATTCCACTGCTCCATGAATTTGTTTCTAGAAGATAGATGGATACATATGTATTTGTATGTATTTCTCGTTGTGTGGTAGAGTATGATATATTTAGATTACTTTCTCTATTTTTTGCAGTTGTCTGATGTGGACAGCGCCATTGATAAAAGTAAAAAGGTACTAACGTCGATGAGTAGAAGGATGAGCAGGAACAAGTGGATCGTGGGTTCTGTAATTGCTGCACTCGTGTTGGCAATTATTGTGATCCTTTACTTTAAAATTTTTCACTGATTTGACACCAGTTTGCAGTTTTGGTATGCGTTTATCTTTCACTGTGAATCATGTTATTGTGGTGTCTTGTTATGTTATGAAATGTTGTATAGCATGATTTGTTGCTGAAAGCCCAATATGATATTGACTTAAATTGTTAATGCAGTAATACTAATACGTGCTACTTTCTGGGATTGGATTTTTTTTTTTTTTTTTTTTTTTTTTTTTTCGGAACGATAGAGATAACTATTACTCGAAGAAAAGAACAATGTTTAAATACAAATCTGATGCAGAATATTATTATTATTATTATTATTATTATTATTATTATTATTATTATTATTAGCATTTAATATTTATTTATATTTATATTTAGTGACTTGGTGGACAAGATAGATATTAGGGTTAGGATGTCTTATTTAAAGACCTCTGTTATTTGTATTCAACAGTTGATTTTGAAGATGAATGAAAATAATTGATCGTGTTTGGGAGAGTATCCCGTGTTCTGGAGAGAGTATCTCCTTGTATCTTCCCGTTCGTTCACGCTTTCGTTACATCAGTTGGTATCAGAGCCAGCCCATGTGCCAGCGGTGACCGCTGGGCCCACAAGGGGGGGTGGATGATGCAGCGCATCCCACATCGGGTTTGAAAGGAAACGAAGCATGCCTTATATGAGGATGTGGATACTTTCACTAGTAAGACGCGTTTTGGTGGGTGTGTACTGAAGCCCAGCCAAGAACAAAGCCGTGCGGGTGGCGGAAGTAGCCCAAAGCGGACAATATCTTACTAGGGTCTGCATCAAAATCACAACTAGAGCAAATCGAAAACTGAGAGGACACGCTTGCAAGCGGTCTAGAACCTCAATAGCAAACAAACCAAACTAATGAAACTTAGACTTCCCCACTGCAATAGAGCCTAGGGAAATTAAGGACCATCAACAAACCTAACTAACAGCCAACAAACCAAACAAAGATAAACAAAACCAGAGCCTAGGGAAACTAAGGACCATCAACAAACCTAACTAACAACCAACAAACCAAACAAAGATAAACAAAACCAAAGCAACAAGGAAACAGAAAAGAAGGCCAAAGACAGAAAACACTAAGATGAAGCTGCAGCGATGAAGTCCAACCAGTCTTTGTGAGCTATGCTGACTAGTTGTTGTGCTGGAATCTGAACATTTTGAAAGAGCCATAAATTTCGAGATTTCCAGAGCCACCAAAGCATGTAGGTTGTTAGTTGGATCCTTGCTTCGGAAGTCTCAGACTTGTTGAGGGAACAAACATCAGACCACCATCTTCTGAAGGAAGTAGGATGCTGCTTCATAGAATTCCAAAAGACAGGAGCCAAATCCCAAACTCTACAAGCTTTAGGGCACTGAAATAGAATATGTTCAATAGTCTCTGCCTCAGAACCACAAGTTTTGCAGATTACATCAATGTCTAGACCTTTCTTCCTCAACTTAGTCATGACAGAAAGTGTACCATTTATGCATTTCCATATGAAGTGTTTAAGTCTTCCTGCCACTTTAAGTTTCCAGCATCTAGAGAGACCCACACAGAGAATACCTGGAGAGGAGCTGCTACCAGGGATGTCCAAAGCAAGGAGCTTTTGGTGTGAGAGGAAAGAATATGTGCTGGTAGCAGAGAAAAGGCCCTTCTTATCCAGCTTCCAGTACAGCCTATCAGGGTAATTTGGTTTGAGTGTATTGATGGCAAGAATAGCAGAGTTGTCCACAGGATCAAAGACTTGGTTGACTAGCCAGGAATTCCAACTAGTGCCTGAGTCATTCAGGAGATCTTTGACCCACACCAGGTGATCTCTAGCAAGCTCCATCAAGGCAGGCTTAGGTTTGTGAAGGGTGGGCACCCAGTTAATGTCAGAGATCTTTGTGGATTCACCATTTCTGACTTCTATAGCAAAACCTTGAGCAAAAGTAGGAACCACTGCAAGCCAGTTATACCAAAGCCAGGAGCAATTGTGGGGTTTTGTGGCTTCAAAGATGGAGCAGTGAGGGTAATATCTGTCTTTGAGGATCCTACTTACCAATAAGTCAGGGTTTTTAGTTATCCTCCAAAGCTGCTTACAAATGAGGGCAGTGTTGAAAAGTTTGATGCCCAGAAAGCCTAAACCTCCACTGTTTCTAGGCAAAGACATGGAAGCCCAGGATTTTCAGTGAATTCCATTGGGTTGATCTTTCCCATTTTGCCACCAGAAGTCAGAGCACAGCTTAGAAATTTGAGTGCAGACAGAAGCAGACAGTCTAAAGCAAGACATTGAAAACACTGGCAAAGCTTGAATTATAGATTTGATAAGAGTCTCTTTACCAGCAGGAGATAAGAGTTTAGTTTTCCAGTTCTCAATTCTAGATTTAACAGATTCAAGAACAAAATTGAAAGCCTCAAGTTTGGATCTGCCAATGCCTAAAGGTAGACCCAAGTACCTTGTGGATTTATGAGAGGTAATACCCTGCAAGGTGGAGCAGATGCTGTCTTGGAGATGCTGAGGAGTATTTCTGCTGAAGAAAATGGCAGACTTGTGCAGGTTGACCTTCTGACCAGAGAATAAACTGTATTTATCAAGAATTGTCAGAAGAGTTGCAGCTTGATTCACACTAGCCTTGCAGAAAAAGACGGATTCATCTGCAAAAAACAAGTGGGAGAGTGGAGGGCCATTTTTGGAGAGTTTGATGCCCTGAAGAGAGCCATCATCTAATGAAGCACAAACTAAGGCAGAGAGCAGTTCAGTTATGATAATGAAGAGGTAGGGGAATAAAGGGTCCCCCTGCCGTAATCCCCTTGAGGGAAGCACATATCCACTAACAGAACCATTTACCTCGAAGGAATAAGTGCAGGATGAGATGCAGATCATTATGAGGTGAACAAATTTCTGATCAAAACCCATTTTAATCATTGTCTTCTTGAGGCATGACCACTCAACTCGATCAAAGGCTTTCATAAGGTCCAATTTAATTGCCATAAAGAAATTCTTCCCAGAGGAATGTTTGTTCAAGAAATGGAAGGCCTCTTGGGCTATGATCACATTATCCAACATTTGTCTCCCTTTTATAAAAGCAGATTGGAAGTCACTCACACAAGAAGGCAGACAGTCTTTAAGTCTCAAGGCAAGAACTTTGGATAGGATCTTGTAAACCACAGTGCATAAACTAATAGGCCGAAATTGGGAGAGATTTTCAGAATTTAGGGATTTAGGAACCAGTGATATGATGGTGTGGCTCCAATATTTGAAAATATGACCATTGTAAAAAAACTGGATAAAGCAGCACACAAGTCAAATTTGATAACACTCCAAAACTTTTGATAGAAAAGTGTAGTCATACCATCTTCACCCGGGGCACTATCAGGACTTAGGCTGAAAAGAGCCTCTTTTCTATCTTCTTCAAGGACTGGCTTGAGTAAACTCTGGTTCATGCTTTGTGTAATAGACTGAGGAATGTGGTGGAGGATGGAGTCACCTCCCCAAGCACCTTCTGAAGAGAAAAGAGAGGAGTAGAACTCTGCAATATGGTTTTGGATTTCAGATTGAGTGGAGTAAACTCTATTTTGATCAGTGATTAATCTGCATATAGCATTTTGCCTCCTCCTCATCATCACATAAGCATGGAAAAACTTGGTATTCCCATCACCAGCCTTTAACCATTGAAGTTTTGCCTTTTGCTGCCAGAAGGATTCTTCAGCATGGTGAGCTTTTTGCAATTCAGCTTTAGTAGCCACCCATGATTCCCAATTATCTGCAATACTGTTTTGCCTTATAGCTGCAAGTTTAGCTGAGAGGTGTTCTATATTAGATTGGTTTTGGGATTTGAATTTAGAACTCCAAATAATGAGTGCCTCCCTTGTGCATTTGATCTTTTCTTTAAGTTGTGTCCCTGAGTGAGAGGTGCTCCAGGCTGCTTCCACTATCTGAGCAATGTCTGGCTTGAGAAGCAATCTCTTATCAAAGTGAAAGCGATGTTTTGTTCTGTTCTTCAGTTCTCCAGAGTCTAGAAGCAGCATAGAGTGGTCAGATGCACTTTTGATCACATTAGAAATTGAAGCATTAGGGTAAGATGAAAGCCATTCAGCAGAACCAAATCCTCTGTCTATTTTTTCTTCAATGAGGTCATCATTTGATATGTTATTGCACCAAGTGTATTGGTAGCCAATCATTCTGATTTCCTCCATGGACATGTTGTTGATGAATTCTCTGAACCCGGCTAAACTTCTGGCACTTCTAGTAATTCCACCCAGCTTCTCTTCATTGTCACAGATATCATTCCAGTCACCGAGAATAAACCACTTGTCCTCCCTGTTGCATTTATCAGATTCAAAGCACCTCCACTGCTCAGCTCTGGTTAGTGAACAAGTGCTAATGTAAACAAAAATACCCCAATAGCAACTGTCATCATTTTTTATGCTACTTGACCGGAGCAGATATCTTAGAGCATCTACAATGCATTAGGTAGTCTTGCCAATGTGGCATGTAAATAAACTCAAGTATTTAATGATGTGGATAAAAGTTATCTAAAATTGATAAAATCCATTTCAATGCAAGAGACTAGGTTTCTACTTGGGGCTAAAATAGACTTAAGGGTAAACCGAATATCTTTTTCTGGCTATCACATCAGCAGGACCCAATCTACTTTTGATTGCTTTGGAGAAATACATTTTTTTAGACCAAGTGTATTTTTTTAGGTGACATAACCCAAAGCATTATAGATGCTCTTAGACGAAAGTACTGAGTATCTATATATACATCTCTACTACCAGTGGTCTACTGGCTGAGCACGAACAGTCGGCTTAAATTTAGTCGATAATCAAGTTAAAATTCGTTGTTAATTAAAAATACACAATGTTGGACCGGGATAAGTCATTTAATTATTTTTTTTATCATTTTTTTTTTTTTAATTTTAAGCATGACACAAAATACAACCACAACCAATCTGAAGACAAAATCTACAAAGTACAGTCACATGCGGCATGTTTACCTCATGTCTAAATAATTTTATAGTACATTAAAAA